TAGGGAAAGAAAGTCCAAAACTGCACAAGAAAGCACAATAACTTTTCCACCAGTACTTTTGTAAGTGTCCTACATTTTTTGGTTATAAATTACAATTTGACTCGTTATATTTGACTACTTTTTCCGCTTTGGCTTTTGAGATTTTTTTGGGGAGTGGCATAACAATAATAATAAAAAAAGTTACAAACTCATAAGAAAATATAATATTTTAATTATTAAATTGTATAAATTTTATCATTGATTTATAATTTTTTTCTTACCACCACTCTCTTGTTATTCCCCTTCCTTTTTTCTTACTTTGACCTTTTTCAATTTATTTCAAAAACTAATTTATGTATAAAATTAGATAAAAAATAATACGGTGACAGTCATATGCATAAAAATATTTTATTATATATAATTTATACATTTAGCACAAAGTTAAATTTCAATATAATAGTAATATATATTTTATGTCATGTGACAGTGAATGTGACATTTTTTTAATCTAATTTTAAATAGAAGTTAATTTTATGAGTAAATTGGAAAAAAAATTATAATATGAAGAGTCAAAAAGGAAAAAAAAAGAAAAAACAACTAAACGAAAAAATATAATTTGCCTTACATTTTTCATGTTTTAACAACAAAAATGCCTCTTCCATCTTTATCTCTCTCTAGAAAATAAAATAAAACCATTTCGTTCAATTCTTACCCTTAAATTCTCAACACACTCAACACAAATATGATTTGTTATCTCCTCCGATATCATAATAAATTATTAATTGATAATTCATTTAAAAATTTAAGTTGTTAGAAAAATGATGTTTAACCTAATGACAAAATATGATATTTTTTTAACAATAATGTTGCAATGACCAAATGTTTATATCATAAATTGTTTATCATCACTCATATTATTAGAAATGCAATGATGACACGTAAAATGATAAATATTTTATAATATATAAATATGATAATTGTAGCATAATTAATTTTTAATGGTGTAAAGCGAGTTGTGTATTAAAAAAATAATGATGCTTAACCTAATGACAAAATATGATATTTTTTTAACAATAATGTTGCAATGACCAAATATTTATATCATAAATTGTTTATCATCACTCATATTATTAGAAATGCAATGATGACACGTAAAATGATAAATATTTTATAATATATAAATATGATAATTGTAGCATAATTAATTTTTAATGGTGTAAAGCGAGTTGTGTATTAAAAAAATATCTTGATTCCTATAAATTGGCCAAATTCAGCACCTGAATTTAAATCCCAGAATTTCTCTCCTATGGGGTGTTTGTTTCAGCTTTTCAGAGCCAACTTATGGCTTTTAGTTTTGAAAAAGTTATTTTGGACTGTTTAGTTAAACTTATTTCAAATTCTAACAACTTATTTTAACTCAAAAAAGCTGATTCTGAGAAGCTGCTCACCCCTTACTTCTGATTATCAGCTTCTGCTGTGGACATGTTAATTTATGGTTATGCTCTTAAATTTTTTTATTTTTTATTTTTTTAAAAATAGAAAAAGACTCAAATGGACTATAGATTATTATTATTATTTTTTATGAGAAATGTAGACAAACAAAAAATAAAAATTAATTGAAAAAATTACTTCACATCTTATTTAACAAATACTACTCAGCAACTTAAATCTATAATCTAACAGTTATACCAAACAGATTAACAACTTCTGATTAAAATCATAATCTATAATCTGTTAAGGTATAATCTATAAGCTGTTTTAATAGCTACACCAAATGGGACTATGCCTTCCACTTGCCTAATAAGAAAAAAAAATAAAGGTCTCATTAATGTGTGTGTTGCATGGTGAGAAGGTTTAAAAATATTACACTATTTATTCCACGTTGTTAGTCAAGGCTTTGGATTTAGATATGTGCTCTTCTATAGGGTTTTTCTCGGAAGGGGGTTAAAAGTTATTTTCTAATTTTTAACTCATTTTGGGTCATATTATCTCTTATATTTTTTATATATTTTTTTTGAAAAAGTTAAAAAAAGTTAAAAAGCCAACTTTTAACCATCTTCTTAAAACATTTCATAATTTCAAGTTTAAAACCTAGGTTTAAAGAATTTTTTAGAGCCAGTTCATATACAATTTTGTCTTGTTTTAATTGGACTCCCTGCAAGTGAACAGTGTGATTGATCTCCTAAATTAATCGATTCTCAGATCCGAACACCGAATTGTGAAAAAATAAAATAAAAATACAAACGTTAACAAAATCTAAAAATTATGAGAATGAAGCATAAAGAAAAGCACTAAGTAGATCTACACACAATTTTGGGAATAATACACACATCTTGTGGATTAACAATGAAAGCTGACTACTCACTACTTGGAAGAAAGGAAACATTTTTGGGAAAAGAAAAGAAATAATAAATGATGAAAAACGTTATGGATTCAAATAATTTATTAAACTTTTTATCAAATTTTTTATATGGATGTGAAATTCACACAAACTCATATATATATATGAGTTCTACATCTATGTAAGAGATTTAGTAAAAAATTTAATAAATTTCTTGAGATTCCTAACGTAAACCGTATTAAAATTCATTAAATGATTACCTCTAGACGAAGGCTTCTCGTATTGCATGGTTAGCTAACTTGAACAATTAGGAAGGTGTAATTAGTAATGTAAATGACAAGTCTATGTTTGTATCTTGAATTAATGAAAGAATATTTTACTTTTTTTTTTCCCATTAAATTTAATCTTAATCTAATGATTCCAGCTTAGAGACGCAATGTCTAGATCTACCTTCATATTCAAAAGAGAAAACTCTTAGTTAGGGGAGGCTTCAACTAAGGTTTCGTTTGGAATACTATTTTTTAATTTTTTAGCTATTTTATTTTGATGTTAAAAAATCTTATTTGGGATGAGTTTTTTGACTTTTAAAATTTTTATGAGAAAAAAAAAATGAAATGATTATGATTTAAATGTGACATTTTATCTTATTAACTTTTTAGCTTTTTTTTTATGACTATTTTAACCTTTTAGCTCCAAAAATCTTTACGCTAAACGAGAGCTAAAATTATGATAATTAATAAGATTTATATACAAAATAGAAAATTCTTATAAAAATTTCGTTTAGAATAATATGATAGTGACATTTTAAATTCTATTAATTATAAGGAAAACGATTGGTAACTCGAGAAATTGGCTCGAAAGAGAAGAGAGGAGAAGAGGAGGAGAGAGGGAGAAAGAGAGAGGAGAGGCCGTCGCAGCTCCCCGCCATCGTCGTAGCTCCCCTTCAGTCCTTTTTCTTCCTCCTCTGTTGCAGCCCCACCGCAGCTCGTCGCAGCCCCGTGCAGCCCGCCTCCGGTCCCGCCTCCTCCTCCTCCAGCCCGATTTTTATGGCCCCCTCCCCTCCACTTCTCCTTCTTTCTCCTCCTTCCCCCTCCTCCCGATCTGCTGACCCACCCTTCTTCTTCTTCTCCCTTCTTTTTCTTCTTCCTTTTGCAACGTTATAATTCTTATTTAAGAAAAAAATTACAAGGGCTCCACATTTTTTTCTGCATAAAAATTTGGAAAAATTTCAAACTTAAAATTTTTAAAAGATAAACAAGTGATAAATTTTATAAATATTAATAATTAAAATAATAATTCTCTTGTAAATATGTAATAATTTTATCAAATTATCACACCATGATAATTTTTTTTTAAAAAAAAGTACTACATGCACACTTTTTTCAATGCATGTATTAAGAATTTTCCAATTCTTCATTATTTTGCGTGTAAATGGTTGTCAACAGTTGGTTAGTAATAACAATTACAACAAAATAACATATTATTTCAAACTCCTAAATTCTAAAATTATTTTTAAAATATACTGCCAAACAAATTAAGAAAATTTCTAAACTCTTTTTCCAAATTCTTTTTTGAAAATTTATCTCAGAATATAAACCAAACACACTCAATGTATCCGAGTCGGCCACAATAGAACACATAGGCACTTTTTTGATGCATTAGAATTTAGAAATATAAACATGCATAATGTGTAACTTTATGGTTTATATATGAAAACCTTTGAACAAGGTTGTTGGCGTAGTTCATATAATTATCTTTTGAGACGGGGAGAAATTCAAAAATTTAGGATTTGACTTGATGGAATGATTGTGGCTTTCAAATTATCACACCATGATAATTTTTTTTTAAAAAAAAGTACTACATGCACACTTTTTTCAATGCATGTATTATGAATTTTCCAATTCTTCATTATTTTGCGTGTAAATGGTTGTCAACAGTTGGTTAGTAATAACAATTACAACAAAATATCAAATTATTTCAAATTCTTAAATTTTAAAATTATTTTTAAAATATACAGCCAAACAAATTAAAGAAATTTCTAAACTCTTTTTTCAAATTCTTTTTTAAAAATTTATCTCAAAATATAAACCGAACACACTCAATGTATCCGAGTCGGCCACAATAGAATACATAGACACTTTTTTAATGCATTAGAATTTAGAAATATAAACATGCATAATGTGTAACTTTATGGTTTATATATGAAAACCTTTGAACAACGCTGTTGGCGTAGTTCATATAATTATCTTTTGAGACAGGGAGAAATTCAAAAATTTAGGATTTGACTTGATGGAATGATTGTGGCTGTTCTGTTATATATACAGATTACGAAGACGATTGATATTTTTTCATCTACCTCAATATAGAGGATTCATTTGTGTATATATATATATATATATATAAATTGTTTAACCGTTCATTTTGTAAAATCTTCCGTATAAATGATAACAGTTTCATTTTATCGCATTTGTTTGAGGAAAAAATAGTCTATTTTCAAAAACAAATTTATTTATTTTTTAGAGCCAAACAAGAATTTTTTTTTATTATTTTTTGCATTTTTTCTAGTGATATAAAATTTCTGTAAAGAATACAATAGATTTAACTTATATATTTCAAATAATTTCTTATGTTTAAATTAAAGAGAATGTAAATATATATGTATGAGATGTGTTGTGTACAGGACCAGGCTGTTCATCAGTGGCATATGGAGCATCAGAGGAAATAGGTCCATTTCGCATCAACAAAACTGCTTCATCTCTCTATCTCAACAAATATTCTTGGAATACAGGTAATACATAATTATTAACCATCATTAAAAATAAAATAAAAACCCATCATACAATTAATTAATTTATATTTTATTTGAATCTTGGGCTTTTAGGAGGAAAGAAATTTAATGGGAAAAATAAATTTACTTTTTTTCAGGGTTAATTTTTGAGTGAAATACCAATAAATCCTAATAGAAATTTTATGAACTGTTTTGTCCTTTTTTTTTTTCTTATGGATCCAAGGAACATATGTGAATTTTCTCATAATGTTGAAATTACTAAACATAATCTTTCAAAAAAAAAAATTAGTATACTTTTTTCAAATATAACACTCCAACATAACACTCAAAAAACGTAACACTCCAATGTAACACACTAAAAAATTTCTTAGTATACTTTTTTCAAACGTAACAATGTAACATTTAAAAAAAAATTCATTTAGTGTATTTTTCTTAAACGTAACACTCCAATTAATGTAACATATAAAAACTCCTTAATATACTTTTTCCAAACATAACACTCCAATGTAATATACTAAAAAATTACTTTATATATTTTTCTTAAACGTAATAATATAGCATTCCAAAAAAATTTCTTATTGTATTTTTTTTTCAAATGTAACACTCAAATATAACATCCTAATAAACTCCTTAATATACTTTTATTGAACGTAACATTTTAAAAAAAATTCTTAGTATATTTTTTTTTCCTAAACATAATATTCCAATCAATATAACACACAAAAACTTTTTAGTATACTTTTTCAAATGTAATACTATAATGTAATACTCTAATGTAACACCAGAAAATCACATTACTAGAAAATGTAGATTTCAATATTCGACAATTAACACTTCAGCCACCAATTTCCCTAAAAAGAATCTTCTACACCTCACTTATCCATCTCCATCCCAAAAACAAATTAAAAAAATAATCACAAAAAGACATTCATTTAAACTCAAATAAGTACAAAAGCAAATAAATATAACTTTTTCAAAACAAAAATAACTAATTGGTTTATAAGAAAACTCTTAAAATTAAATGGATCAATATTACCCTATATAGAATTTATGGATAAATTTTCTTTAATTTTTTTATAAATGTCTATTCATTTGTATCTGAGAATTATTTACCAAACCCACCTTTTGTTTTTTCCTTTTATAAAAAATTAATATCTCATATCCAAACAGTTTTAAATTTATTTACGAAACTCACTTTGATTTTTGGAGTCACATTTTACAAATAAACTATAGAATACAATAAACTAATTGAAATCTTATTTTCAAAACACAATTTTAATGAAGTCAGGATTTTAAAACACTATTCAAGTTTAAAGTCGTGATTTTCACAGCATTTTCTTGTACTACATTTATTTATTTATTTTGTTTCTTTTTCTTTCATCTTCAAATTGAAAGTTGCATTGCAAGAAAATCCAATTTTAGCGACTGAACTTAATGTCATCATAAGTTATATATTCATCACCAAAAAAGTTTTGGTGACGAATTAGAGCAGTAGTCACTAAAATCAGTTGGCCTTTTTATTTTTATTTTTTATAACTTTGTTGAATTACATACATATCTACCTTTAATTTAAAAACAATCTTCAATTCACTATTTTTTTTTTCTTATTTATTCCCAAAAAGTATATAATTTCAATTTTACACTTTACAGAGGCAAATCTTCTTTTCCTGGAATCACCTGCTGGGGTTGGTTTCTCATACACAAACACAAGCTCTGACCTTACGGATTCTGGCGATGAGAGAACTGGTACATACATACATTCACCAATTATATATACTTTCATGTTGGTAACATTTTATTTATTTATTTTGTCACCATCATTATGCTATGTTTCAAATTTTAATTTGTGGAGAAAGAAATAAAAAAAGCAAAGCGAAAATATAGGAAAATAAAATGAAGTCAATTTTTTTAAAAAAAAAAAATTAGTGCAATTGATTTAGGAAAATGAGAAGAAAATAAATAAAATTATTGATTCTGGACAAAAAAAAATCGATATGTTATATGTATAAGTAATTTTATTTCTGTTTTATTTTTTTTTCTCTGATAAATTTAAAATCCAAACATAACGCTAATGTTTTATTTTGATGTCACAGCTGAAGATGCCCTAGTTTTCCTTATAAGATGGTTCTCAAGGTTTCCACAATATAAATATAGGGACTTCTACATTGCAGGGGAGAGTTATGCAGGTATATCTATTACGGTTTATTTTATTTATTTTTAATTTCTTGGAAAAAAAAAAGATTATTAATGATAATAACAAAATATTACAAAAGAAGAAGAGAATACATGACAAAAAGTTGGCCAAGAAATTTAACTTGTTGATTTTGTGTTTTTACATGTAGGGCATTATGTTCCTCAGTTGGCCAAGAAAATTCATGATTATAATAAAGCATATTCTCATCCAATCATCAATCTCAAAGGATTCATTGTAAGTCTACACATGTTACATTACAATATTAAAATAAATGTTTGGATGGTAGGAATAAAAATAATCAATGAGAATTGAGTTGACAGCATTGAGATTCATCTGTCAATGCAATTCAAATGTTCAGTTTGATTAAGAATTTTCTATGAAAAAAAAAAAGAGAGAAAGGATTTTGCTGCTACATCTATTTGATTCACTCTTAGAATCAGTTTGGATAATAGAAATCTTGAGGGAAAATAAGAATGAAATTCTTAATATCTATGATTCCAACATTTGAAATGAATTAGAATAGAAAAGCAATTCGTAAATACCTGAGTAGAAGTCTGATCCTACACTCTCTCATGGGAACCTCACAATGTTTAGAATAGTCTTTTTTTCGTAGAATTCACTTTTAATAGTATTGACTGTGGATTTTATTCTTAGCAATTTGATTCCTAAAAATGAAATTCACATTCATTATCTTTTATTATTGTCATCCAAACATAACTTTAAAGGATTTACATTTTTCAAAAATATGAGAATTTTATAGAGATGTGAGTGTGAGAATCTCATTTTACCTTAAGAAAAGGAACTTGGAATGATATATTCTCGTTCCACCTCTCTATTCTTACCATCCAAACATAATCTAAACTAAATATGGAGTAAATTACACTTATAATTTGATTTAAATTTTATTTTGATCCTTACTATTTTAAATTAAATAATTTGGTCCTTATACTTCAAATATAGCTTCAATTTAGACCTTCTGTTACAAGTTAAATGTTGAAATTAATGATTTGGGAACACTTGTTAGTTTCTCGAGATATAAACGTAAAAAAATTAACGATATTCTGGATGGAATAATCAAATTGAAACTGAACTTAAAAGTGTAAGGACTAAATTATTTACCAACAGGGGGTTGGTTCAGTGGATAAGACCTTCGAATCCCTCACTCAAGGCTTGGGTTCGAGTCTCCATAGCCCCTTGTTGGGGTTAAACATATTCCTTAGCTCCTAGAGCACGCGGGGGGCCTAAGCTTCGGCCCCGACATAAGTGTGGTGGGGTTCCCTGCAGATATATTGTAGGTGCTAAGGGACAATACTCCCTGGCGGATATGTTGGAGTAGCCTATCTGCATATCTATTTTTTGAATCAAAAAAAAAAAAAAAAAAATATATAAAAAAAAAAAGACTAAATTATTTATATTGAACTTTAAAACAATAAAAACCAAAGTAAAATTTAATAAAGGGGCACTTACCAATTAATTTTATTAACTAAACTTATTTACTTACATATCCTGACCGATAAATTTATTAGTGTAAATTTATTCATAAAAATAATAGAAAGTTAATGGGTAATAATGAAAATTGCAGGTGGGGAATGCAGTAACAGATGACTACTACGACAACATTGGTACAGTTACATTTTGGTGGACTCATTCCATGATATCAGACTCTACCTACAAATCAATCCTCGCTAACTGTAACTTCACCGCAGACACTACTTCTCAGCAGTGCGATGATTCTGTAAACTATGCAATCAATCACGAGTTTGGAAATATTGATCAATACAGTATTTATACACCTGTCTGTATTAATACTAGTACTACTACTAATACTAGTACTAGTACTATACGGTCAATGAGGCTCAAGAATACTCTCATACGACGTCGTAGAGTTGTCTCTGGTTATGACCCTTGTACTGAGAATTATGCAGAGAAGTATTATAATCGACCAGATGTTCAAAGGGCCTTGCATGCAAATATTACAAAGATTCCATATAAATGGACTGCTTGCAGGTATATACCCAATTTCTCTGTGAAAAATGTTTAGTAGCTCAAATTTGTATGGTCTAAATGACTCGAATGTTTCAAAACTACGTCCTTTTAAAACGACGTCGTTTTGAAATATTCGAGTCATTCGATTCATGAAAATTCGAACTACCAAGCAAGCATTGTTGTTTCTCTATGCTATTTTTTTTTTATAGTTTTGTTTTGGATAAATTATAAATACACATTCTGAAATTTGTTTAAAATACAATTAATCCTTGTAGTTTTAAAAATTATAAATATTTTTTTGTTAGGAAATTTATTTAAAATACAGATTAATCCCTGTAGTTTTAAAAAATGTTTTCTGAAGACTTTCTAGGGGAAAAAATGTTTTCATATTGTTTTCCATTTGTGAGCGAAAATAATTTGAAAGTGTTTCCTACATAAGTGGTGGTTTTAGAAAACTTTCTTGAAAGCAGAAAACATTGTTTCATATGGTTTTCAATTGTGTAGTGATGTTCTAATAAAGAATTGGAATGACTCTCAAGTTTCAATGCTACCCACATACAAGGAGTTAATTGCAGCTGGTCTTAGAATTTGGGTTTTCAGGTATATTACTAAAACTTTTCTCAACTTTGTAGGCACATACATGTAAAATTCTAATGCAAGTGAAAATTGTGACCTTATTCACACCGGAACAATGGCTTTGCTTGCAACTCCATGTTTTTGTAATTATTTTTTGTTCTTTCATTGATTTACAAATCCCCTAAATCTTATTCTTTCTTGTATAATTATTCTTATTTTTCTATATTATATAAATACAATTGAGATTGTGGGTTCAACTCTTATGAAAATGAATTTGCTATCTTTTATAGTAATTTATTTCTCCCCATCATGGTGGTTGTTGGGCTCGGGTTTAGTTGGCTTAGTAATTGATTGTTAGGTAGACTTGGTTGATTTTTTAGTTATTGTAGGCTAGTAATTTGTTTAATGGATACAAGCTGCTCGATTTGTTTAATGATATAATATTTCTCATACTTATTGTTACTCTACTATCGATTAATAAAAAAAAATAACAATACAGATGAGATGTGGCATTCTTTCAACTCTCACAAATTGCTAGGGACCTTCCCTACTAGGCTTCCTTATCGATATTAATGCTACAACTTAAGTGCCTTGGGTTAAAAAGAAGAAGAAAATCAGGTGCCTAATTGAATTGTTTATTCTCAATATTGCAGCGGTGACACAGATTCAGTAGTACCAGTAACTGCCACCAGGTTTTCTTTGAGTCATCTCAATCTCACAGTTAAAACACGTTGGTATCCCTGGTACTCCAAGCGCCAGGTATGCACAAGTTTCATAACAAAAAACTCATAAAATGATTTGATTCTCACCCACCAAAACAAAAGGAAAAAATGTGATTGTAAATGATATATTAATTCTCTGTAAATAGGTAGGAGGGTGGACAGAGGTGTATGATGGACTAACCTTTGCCACAGTGAGAGGAGCTGGGCATGAAGTTCCTCTGTTTCAGCCTAAGAGAGCATTTATTCTTTTCCTTTCATTCTTGGCTGGCAAAGAATTACCAAAGTCTTGACAAAATTCCACACCTTCTTTGGGATTTTGAAGCAATTCAATTCAATTCAATTCAATGAGATTCCCATAAAAATTTATGGGTTAAAGTGACTAGATCATAAGAATCATTCATTCAAATTGGTATATGTATTCATAAAAGAGAACACAATTCATGTCTCATCCTGATGACAAGTATGAAATGAGTTAATGCTATTGTACCATTCGTAAACTCAACGAGTTTCAATGATTTTTCTATGAGAAAATCATTTATATATATGCATGATATCTTGATTCTTCAACTCTATTGATTAAAATAATTCCAAGTCCTTTTAAATAGCATATGATGAATTAAAATTAACAAGATCATGCTCCATCTAGGAAAGCACCATGCCCCAACATTAACTAATATTTTGTTTGTTTTGAACAAAATTATTTTTCTTTTCGACAAAAAAAAATAATATATTTGTGTGTTTGTGCTAGTGGTGTTGTTGATGTGGTAGTAAGATGGCGGTGGTTGACAATGGTGCGTGATGGTGTTCTTTGGACTCTAGTTTTGAAAAATATGTTCAATTTTATCCACACGAAAAAAACAGAAGTAGGTTTTTTTTTGTTCAAATAAGCTTTTTTTTTTTTGCTTTTAACCAAGTAAAATGTTTTTTTGTCATACCAAATATCAAAAAACATTTTATGCCAAAACAAACATACGGAGTGTAAATGATTCACATCAATTTCCTCAAACATCTCCCTAATATTTGTTGAAATTTTCTATGAAATCAGTTCTAAAAATCATACAAAAAGCTTGCAATACATAGTTGACATTTTCTCGATAATTTTATTGGCTTTTTGGGCAAAGGCTATTGTGTGTGTCAATTTTCGACCACACTGCCAATCAAGCACTCAACTGGGGAATACTGGCAGAATAGATTAAGCCTGAACGACCTGTCACAAAAAGAAGAGATTCCGGCGGTGGTTCGTCCACCCGAAGGCACTCCGACGATCAAGTCAATTATCTCTCAAAGATAGCAAAAGTGCTTAACTCACTATTCAAAGCATAAAAAACATACCTTGGACTCATGGGGGTGTCTCTTTTTTATAGCCAACACTTACCTAATCCCAATAGAAGCCTAGCTTCAATGGACTTAGGATTACGGCTAATTTTGGATTCCCAGTAGGATTGGGATAAACTCTCTAAGAGTGTTATCTTTACCCAAACTGAAGTCATCTCCCATTCTAGGACTCTTGTCCCTTATCCGCTTATCCCGGATTCCGGTTTCTTCGCAGATAACCTCGGCCTAGCTGAGATCATCTTGGTGTCATGACCAAGACGCGTGACACCTCGACTGACACTTCGGTGGCACCTCGGCCACGTGTCGTCATTCAAAATTTATGTTCCCGCAACTGCCCCTAGGTTCTATTACCTCAGCATCTTGAGGTGATGGAACCTATATCGTTTCTTCTATTTAGCACGTTGGCTAAGCTCGCTCTGTCCTTCACTATTTTCCAAATCTTGGTAATATGCTAATCTCGGCAATATTTTGCAGATACTTCTTTAAAAATAACTTTGGCATAATTTCAACTTATAAATTATTTAAAATTTCAATAAGTGTTAAACCAATTTTCTTTTAACATGACATCGGCTTAACTTCAACTTGTAAATTTTAAATTTCAACAAGTGTTAAACATGACATCGGTTTAACTTTAACTTGTAAATTTTAAATTTCAACAAGTGTTAAGCATGTCATCAGTTTAACTTCAACTTGTAAATTTTAAATTTCAACAAGTGTTAAACATGACATCGGTTTAACTTCAACTTGTAAACTTAAATTTCAACAAGTGTTAAATATGGCATCGGTTTAACTTCAACTTGTAAATTTAAAATTTCAACAAGTGTTAAACTAATCTTAGCTTGTAAATTCCAACTCCCAAGCATCATTCTCTAGCCCTCTTTGGTACACTACTTCCAGTGTCATTGTGAGTCCTTTTGGACCTCCCTCCATTGGTCGTGTCGAGACAGAGTTCCTTCTCCTGAACATCCCGATGTTCTTTGGTGCAGGCTTCCTTGGTTCGGCGTGTCTTCTGGGATTCTCTTCTCGTTGATTCTCCGTACTCGACCTCCCGTGAGGGTCAGTGAGAATGCCCCTTTGCCTTGTCATGCTGAGGGACTGCATGAACTGTTTTCTGCCCCCCTTTTTGGGCATCTTTCTTGGCCGCTGGAATCGGCATTTCTTGTAGCGGGAACGGTGGTTGCATGACGTTGTTTTGCATCATAAATTGACAACCGTTTGTAGGTCCGCCAATTTGTTCGTCATTCCCTTCATCTCGTCGTCCCTTCGTAAGCATCTATCTTTATATATCTGGAGGTCATCCTCGTTATAATACTTGCTCCGGTTTGATTTCTTCGGCACGTCGCCCTCCTGGCCGACGTCCTTTTCTCCGTGATTCTTATCATGAGTCTCTTTGTTGCAGTTGTCTTCTTCGACGTCAAGATTAATATGTTTCCCACTCTCAGTAGGAATGTCGTCCCCAACCTTCTTTTTCTGTCCGTCGTTGGCCATCTATTCTCCTTTCTTTCCCATAGACGGCGCCAAATTGTGTGTGTCAATTTCCGACCACACTGCCAATCAAGCACTCAGTTGGAGAACACAGGCAGAATAGATTAAGCCCGAACGACCTGTCACAAAAAGAAGAAATTCCGGCGGTGGTTCGTCCACCCGGGGGCACTCCGACGATCAAGTCAATTATCTCTCAAACATAGCAAAAGTGCTTAACTCACTATTCAGAGCATAAAAAGCATACCTTAGACCTATAGGGGTGCCTCTCTTTTATAGCCAACACTTACCTAATCCCAATAGAAGCCTAGCTTCAATGGACTTTGGATTACTGCTAATCTTGGACTCCTAGTAGGATTGGGATAAACTCTCTAAGAGTCTTATCTTTACCAAACTGAAGTCATCTCCCATTCTAGGACTCTTGTCCCTTATTTGCTTATCCCAGATTCCGGTTTCTTCGCAGATAACCTCGGCCTAGTCGAGATCATCTCGGTGTCATGACCAAGACATGTGACACCTCAGCTGACACTTCGGTGACACCTCGGCCACGTGTCGTCATTCAAAATTTATGTCCCCACAGCTATTTTTTGGCTTTTTGGAGTAAAATCTTTTTGGGGTAAAATAGTCAATAAGACAAAATGTTACATCAAACTCATAATCATTTCATTTTTTCTCACAAACATCACATTCAACTACAAAAATTCAATTATCTTCTCAAATACAAAAATTTCAACCTACTAAAATAGCTAAAAACTAAAATAACCTACTAAAATAGCTATTTTCCAAACACCCACTATGTATGAGAGAGAGTGTATTTCATTTATAAAAAAAAAAAAAAAAAAAAAAATAAAAAAAAAGATCTTCCTCAATGGTGCCAGATGATGGTGTTGTTTCGTGACAAAAAAGAGCCGTTAGTAAAACTGCAAATTGTTGTTGCTGTTGTTGTTTTTTTTTTTTTTTCAATAGAGTGGGAAGAAAATTTTCATTATTAAACTAATAAAAGATGGTATCACAAAATCTCAAAAAATGATAAATAACTTTCATAGAATGAAGGATCCATCCTCCAGGAGGAAAAAATGCCTCCACACATAACATATTATTACATCAATAGATTAAAAATTAAGAAAATCAAATAGAAAAAAATAATCAGCCAAGTCCACTATTGAACTCATCCAAAACTCTAATGCTCTGTAGCCTTTGACTTGAAATTTGAAGAATCCACCTCAGTTGGTCAAGATATAACATTGAAGTTGATATGGTTACCTAACGTGAAACAAATGCACTATCCAATGTTGGCCTTCAACTGTGAAAAGATCTTTAACTCAATCTTAAAGTTTTGGGCTCGAAGGTGGAGAAGATAAAGTTGTGATGACAGGCAAACATCAGAGAAGGATCGTAAGGAGAGAAACTAGAGGAGATGGAGATCAAACAGGCATGGGAACCACCACCATCTCCCTTTCCACTAATAAGAAATTTTAAAGAGAAAAATAAGACGAATTTTTAGGATTTTACTGTAAACATAAATTTCAGAACATAAACCTTACACTTTGGATCATTTACCATGTGTATTATCAAGAAATCAAGACAAAATGACATACCTGAGTCCATTGATGAACGGTTAAACGGAAGCGTGATTATCAATGAACTCTTTGTTATTGATTATGTTATTGCCTTCTAATCCTTTCCCCTTTGGTGCCTTATGTTTCTTCTTGAGAGGATTTAGGAAAAAATGGCAGTGTTCTTATTTCCACCTGGGAATGATTAGGGACCATAACCTTTTAAAGGTTGTAATTGGTTTTCAAAATTGAAAGGTTGTGAAAGTTCAAAAGGAATGAAAACCAATTTTGACCATTATAGGTTTTAATTTCTATTTATTGGTTTTCAAAATTGAAAGGTTGTGGAAGTTCAAAAGGAATGAAAACCAACTTTAACCAATATGTTTTAATATTTCTATTTATTGGTTTTCAAAACTGAAAGGTTGTGAAAGTTCAAAAGGAATGAAAACCAACTTTAACCAATATGTTTTAATTTCTATTTCTGCCCCTCATAGAAATAGAAATTATACAACTAGTATCTACACATTAGGGCCATAACACATATACCCTTAAGCCTATTAACTAAATTGAATCACTTAAATTGTAGACTTCTTATAAATGATAACACCACATTTAATTATGTAGTCCCATTGAGACATTATCTAACAGAAAAATGATCTGTGAGCACCCCCAGCCACCGTTAGAAAAATGTTTCTCCCCCAAACACCATAGCTGCGTGATAAGTAAAAATCTAGAGAACCACTCTTATCTATTGAGAAAAATTTGGGATTATATGATGGAAAATAATTTTTTTAGTATGGAATCTATGTGAGGTCCATGTAAAATGTGGTGGAAATTAATTTATAAGTAATTTCTAAATTGATAAGGGTGGATTTGTAGTATTCGTGTGATAAATAAGTGGAAACAAACGGCCAAAAAATAATTCGGCACATTAGTGGCTAGCTCATGCCAGAGCAAGGTATTCTAATTGGTAAGGATGATCATAGATTCGTCCAATCTGTCCAACCCGATTAAACTGACCCAACCTAATTGATTTTGGGCGGATGCGTATTTTTTGATGGATGAATACGGATGAAATATTTTAAAATTCGTAAATACGATTTGGATGATGGATCTACTATCTCGCATCTACATGAATCCGATCCGCCCAGGGCCCGCCCTGAGATTTAGGGGGCCTAAGGC